CTCTCTCTCTCTCTCACACACACACACACACACACACACACACACACACACACACACACACACACACACACACACACACACACACACACACACACACACACAGAGAGAGAGAGAGAGAGAGAGAGAGAGAGAGAGAGAGAGAGAGAGGTTTGCTTAGAAAACACTGCAAAGCTGGTTGCATGAGCAAAACTGGAGACCATAAATTGTCATGCTGTTATGAAGAGCATAAACCATGTTGCTTATGCTGTGTAGGATCCAGAAAATTCTCATGAGCATGTTAAGAGATTGATTGTGGCACAATGTAACTGGCCCTAATCTCATTACAATTTACTCCTGATTTCTGCCATTAATGCGTGGGAATCAGAATAAATGAATTTTAAGGATTTTCCATTGAAACCAGTGGAAGTTAACCTAATTAACTGTTTACATTAATTTGAATGGGAGTGAAGTATGACTGGATCCAACTTAATACATTGATGTATATGAAAACTAAATTGAATTGCAGCAATCGATATATATTTTTAAAGCTATTCTCTGAAATTTAATGATTCTAGTTTTTATTTACTCATGTTTTTGAAAAGGGGAATTTGTTTTTGCCCATTGTGCAGCATAATATTATAAAAAGCTGGGTTCTTTCTCTAATTGCATCTCATTGTACATTGCCAGAAATTCTGTAAAATGCATTATTCAAATGTTGCATTTACAGTTGCTTATATGTGTTATACAGTTTCCTGGTAATAGGAAAAAAATCTGTATATGACATTATAAGCCCTATTTAGGTTTTCTTATGTTAGGATTCTCTAAACACAGAGAAGAGAGCAGGCTAGGCCTATGCACTCTGTTGTTGTTCTTGTGTGGAGCACCTTCTCTACCTGTGGAGTTTTTTCACACAATTAAGAACCAATCACATGGGGAGCCTCCACCCAGCAAGCCTCTATTCTTCAACTGCTGCTTTCCCCATAAGGAGCAGAATGATAAGAGCCGAGACTTGGGGCTTACTTGCTGTCTTCCAACAAGCCTCTCGTGATCTATGCATCCCTTCCTGTGCATCCACGTCAATATAAGTCATACGTAAAGAAGAGTCCACCACCAACTACCTTGAAGCTGTCACATGTATCTCCTTGTCCTGTCCTATAAGAAGCTCAACGTGATACACACTGCGACACTGTATTGCCAATCTGGAGAGCAGAAAAACTCAGTACAGGTGACGCAAGGTATCTTTGCTGTAGGTGAGCAGCAAGACAACATTTCATCTCCAGTTTCTGCACCTCCATCTAACAAAGGTGATTTATTCTTTATGTATTTCTGTTGCTTAATACATAACAACTAAACCCAAAGGATATAAAAGTTAAAGGAACCTCATGTGCATCTCAAATATCAGCTGCCACCAAAGTATGGAGAGCATCTTCTGAGAGCAAGAGAGGTTTTAACATTGATTTAGAGGCAGGGATTTGAGTGTGGGGAGGAGAGAGAGGCCATTCAAATTCCCAGTAGATGCATCCAACCTAGGCTTTCGCATGGCACTCTTGTATCCTGACCAATCAAGATGCTTCACTTTTTAATGAAGAGTGGGCATTTTCTCACCAGAACCAATGAAGACAAGAATGAAACACTGCCTAACCTGTTTAATCACAAAGTAGGAATATTAAGCTTTCATTCCACACAAATTAAAAAACTCAAGAGTTTTCAACAAGAAATTTTACTTGTCATCTTTATTCAAGTATTTCACAGCAGTTATATTACAAATTACAGTAAAATGTTCAAAAATATCCAGAAATTCAAAAAAATTAATAATTTACTTAACTAATGTAGAATGAAATCAAGATTTAAAAAAAAATCAAGTGAAACACAATTCCAAATACAGCTGGTAGAATCCAGAATTTATTATAGTTGATGAAGTAAGCTTATTTAATTAAAAAGCAGACACACATGAATGAAACCAAACAACAAGACAACCCCATTGCCTAAGTAAGCCAACATACAATACAGAAAGGAAGCAGGTACAAGCTCAAATTCAAGCCTATGTTGAATTTACATTTAAAAAAAGGGAGGGCAATGATGAGCCATTCAAAACAACAAAGCAAAAATTGCCTTCCAACTTAAAAAAAAGTGGGGGGAGGGGAGATAGGAAAACAGGGTATAAATCAGAAAGAAATAAAAAGGAAAAGGAAAAGGAAAAAGAAAGAAAAAGTTCCCAGTAATCCTATAATAAATACATTGGCATATGAGAAAACTCAAGTAACAATAACAAGGACACAAAACATAAATTAATCACAGGTGAAATTCAAGCTTGGAAACGCAATTAACTCCACAGCTGGTTATCTTAGAGCAGTTCCATCATTAGCCTCACCGAAATTTAACCTCAATCCGACCCTAGGATAAGGCCTTGCACAGGAGTTCATTGGTAATATTCATAACAAGAAACAGGAATTGATTTGTACAGATGATTGCCAATTTCATGTGGCAAAATAATAATAACAAAAGTACAGATAGTAAACAACTTGACAACATGAAGAGATTAACAGGTTTAACTCTACAACCACTAAGCTATTAGTAAAGAAAAGCAATACGTGTTTTAGTAGTGTGGTTTTTGAGCCAAAATAGTGAATATATCATTTTATCCATGTTGCCCACTAAGACACTTATATAAGCTAATTCTTCTGAAAAACCTAGAACATTTAAAGGCAGCTCCTCAATTTCTTATCAACATTCAGAAACTACTAAGATTTTTTTCTCCTCACAGTTGACCATTTGGAAGCATTTTCAATGCTGGATCTGAATTTAAGATATTATTTTCAACTTATTTGACAACTATATTTAAAGGATTTAAATTTGTACAAATTTAGTAACCTGTTAAAAATGTATGCAGTTTTCTTTTTCACAAGTGCTGCTGCTACCTGAACAAAAGAATCTTTGAACTACAATATTTTTAAAAATGCTGCAAGAACCTGAGACTTGCAAAAAATCGTTTTACCAGAAACTTGTTACAAAAATCTGCTACATTTTATTTCATCAAATCTTAAAGTTTGTAACAATTTCCATCAAAATACAAAATGCTAATAATGGTCTGACTGCAAAATATCTTGAACAGGTAAAATGGCAACAAATGCTAACAGAAAAATGAAAAGTCCCTATAATCAAATTTTTAAAATGAATTTTACGTACTAGTTTAAAAGTATGCTTTCATTTTAATCGCACTTTCCCACCTAAAAATACAGCATTTCTACAGAGTTGTGTTTACACTAGTGTGGCTAAATGCATATTAGCAATTAAATAAGTAGCATCTGGGGGGGGGGCTGGGGAGGCCTAGCTAACACAAGGCTTGGATGCAAAAGATGGGGGGGGGGGGAGAAAAAAGCACTTTGGATTACTGCAGCAGACTAAGGCCAGAGCCAGTCCCGGTTAGCAGAAGAATGCTCCTACAAGCGGCGCACCTAGTGACAAGTACCTTAGCTTCAGCATGTAAACGGTAGCAAACCCGATTGCAGCCTTCCGTAAATACTGTTGGTAACTAAAATACAAAAAGCTGAGGTAGCAGAGTTTCTCTGCAGTAGTCCAAGGTCCATTTTTACTCATTAAAATCAATACCCAACTGGATTTTGGAAAAGACACTCTTGCTGCTGCAGACCATTTCACAAGAGGAAACTTGTCTCATATGACACTCATGCAAGAACTCCCCTGTCCTCCTGAACTTCCACACGGCTGGCCTGGAAAAAGTCTGGCTCTCGGAGGCGGCCGAGTCGCTTGCCCTGGAACAGACTCCCTTCCTGCCTGGCCTGCACCTTCTCTGGACTTCCAAGAAGGAAGTGCTTGACAACTATCACCCACAGCACCCAGCCCTACCTAGCAAACGGCGAGCTTCACAGGCCAATGATCATGTCCACAAGCGAACGACAGGAAAACTCGGATGGTTTCCCTCCTCTTTTTAATACTGTTCAATATAAATTGTACTCTGTGAGTCTGGCCTGACTCGTCTAAAGACGAAAGCACTCCAGGGCAAAACCACCTCTCTCGTCTAGGGCCACCCAGCAAGTCTCAGCTTCCAAAATAATGGGAATTTAGAAAGAAACCTGTTTTTAAGAACTCTAAAAAAATGCAATTGAATAATAAAAAAAAACACAACATAAACACAACTATAGCCACCACAAATCAAATACCACTGTGAAAATTTCCCAGCGCCATTTGTTTTCAAAATTAAATATACTAGTGAAATAAATGCATTTTACCATTTTGAGCTAATATGTCATTATTTCCATAATTCAGCTTTCTGGAGAGCAACTCAGACATGTTAGACGTAATACTGGCTGCTATTCAACAGTGTGGGAACCTGAAACTGTTCTTTGGGAACACACACAGGCTTTTGAAAATAACTTTCTACTTCAGTCATTGGCTACAATCCCAACCACTTTAATAGCCTTCTCCTCCTCCTCCAGACTAAAAAGGCACATTGAAGGCAGCTCTAAAGAGCCTCATCTTCACATTATTGTATACCAAAGGTAATTCATTTTTTACCACAATTCTTCACTGCCAGCTTTAAAAACAGGCTTCTGTCCATTACCTCAGAGAATAAAATAAAAAGAGGGATTTTTTAAAAAATAAATTAACTATTTCTTTAAAAAAAACACAACAACAATCAGTTAGATCTGCTCTATCCAGTTTGTGGGTGTCTGTTAGCCTGCTCCATTTTGCCTGAAGCCTTTCATAAGACAATGCATGCAGACAGCAGAAATGAGAGCAGTTCCTATAGCACCAAAAAAATCTCCAGGTTGTGGCATTATATTCTTTATTTTTTATTTTAATCAAGATACAAATATGAATGAAGTTCCGTTTGGTTCTAGTAGGCTGGCTGGTTTCAGGTACCTGAGACAATAGCACCAAATTCATAACAGAAAGTGAGACAAAAGAGCGAGCATGTTAAGACCGAGGCCCTGCACATACTTGGCGCAAAGGGAAATCCAATGGCTCAGAAGAAGGGGGGCTCCTCCCATGAGCAGCCCGCGAAGAGAGAAACCCGCACCACCTCTCGAAGAGTTCACAGGAATGTTTCAAACATACGAACCGTTCTTTCCATCTCCTGAAAGGGAGGAAGAAACACTGATTATTTATTAATCACCAATTCAGAGGAATTTGTGAGGGTGACCGTTCAAAACAAAAACTGCAGAGCAGATCTACAGAACTCTCACCGCTTAATTTACAAGAACACAGATGTCCTTTTCCAGGATATTATCACAAGCCAATGCTATTCTAATCCAAACTATAAGCCAAATTAAGCTTCACTCAGGTTTCAGCCAATTTAATCCTCGCTGACATTAACTAAAAAGAAATTTGGGCTGCCTTAAATTCAACTCTTTTGATCCAACTCAAAGGTCATCAGATATCTTCAGTATCCTAAGTCCAGATGGGATAGACAAATTAATGAAGAAGCATCTCTGCATTTCTGTCATTGTGTGTACACGTTTGTAAACTTCCTTGTAACAGGCATTTTATTTACATGATAGCCATTGCACATCACCATCAAGATGCAATGGTGCACTTCAGTATGCCAGCATTAGGAGAACTGGGAACTTCCCCTCCTCCTGCTGAAGCCTTCTGTGCTACCAAAAAGCTTCCTCTAGATCAGGCTTGTCCAACCTGCGGCCCGAGGGCCACATGCGGCCCAGGTCGGCTCGTAATGCGGCCCAGTGCAATTTTTTATTTTTAAAGAAATTCCAAAGTTTCAAGTTACACTGCCGGTGCTTGTGGCCGGAATGCGGCTGGGGCACGTCACAACGGTAGCGGGGGAGATAGGGAAGGAAGGAAGGAGCAGGAGTGGAGGGGAGAGGGGGGCTGTGTGACTGCATTGCGCCATCCCTGTCAATAGGTGGACCCTCTCCCGGCCCCATAAAGCCACCAGAGTCAAAGCTGGCAGCCTCTGCTATCTGAGATCGCAGCTGCCGGTAAGCGTGCTTGGAGCGGGGCTGTGGAGGACGGCTAGGACTGCCCCCCCATGCGGCCCAAACCGAATTTTCATCTTCTAATGTGGCCCAGGGAAGGTGAAAGGTTGGACACCCCTGCTCTAGATAGTCTCCAAATGCTCCACAGCACGTGTTTAGGGTCCAGGGGGCCCACACTAATATGAAGGAAACAGTGGGATCCAGCAGAAGGGCACCTCGCTGGACTATGGCCATAATGCACAATGAGGAGCTCTGCATGATATGAGTGTCTTTTAGAGTTTGGGACTGCTTGTTATTACTGCTGTTGCATTAATGTTGAAGTGGTGAAAAAAATAGTTGCTATTATTAAAACATGGCAACAATTTATTGAGCTGGCTGATTATTCAACTCATCAAATAGTTACATTTCAAACTCTTTGAAACTGCTGGAAAAAAACAACAACCCAAGGGTTAATTGTTAATAAAACTTTTTCAAAATTGTGCTTAGCATTGTAATGACTATGAGGTAACAAATACATTTAAATACATTATTTTTCAGCTCTCACATATTGGGTTTCTCAAATCCATTCATATGAACAGTCTGGCAATTACTGCCAAATACAATTACTGCCAATTTTTTTAAAAAAAGATCCATTTTTGGCAACTTGATATGAGCAAGTCACACAATGAAGCGCTAGAATAATTCTCTTCTCTATGGCCATAATGCACAATGAGGAGCTCTGCATGATATGAGTGTCTTTTAGAGTTTGGGACTGCTTGTTATTACTGCTGTTGCATTAATGTTGAAGTGGTGAAAAAAATAGTTGCTATTATTAAAACATGGCAACAATTTATTGAGCTGGCTGATTATTCAACTCATCAAATAGTTACATTTCAAACTCTTTGAAACTGCTGGGAAAAAAAAAACAACCCAAGGGTTAATTGTTAATAAAACTTTTTCAAAATTGTGCTTAGCATTGTAATGACTATGAGGTAACAAATACATTTAAATACATTATTTTTCGGCTCTCACATACTGGGTTTCTCAAATCCATTCATATGAACAGTCTGGCAATTACTGCCAAATACAATTACTGCCAATTTTTTTTTTAAAAAAAAAGATCCATTTTTGGCAACTTGATATGAGCAAGTCACACAATGAAGCGCTAGAATAATTCTCTTCAAGAAAATGTCAAAAATCCAAATAGCATTTTAAGTCTTTGTGCCATAGCTCAGAGATGCCTCATAGACTGGGGGCTGGTGGTAGTCCCTACAAAATGTCAGGGAGGACACCCCCTCTGGTCACAAGCTATCAATATTATAACATCATACAAATGATTCCAATACTCCAATCCTGAGGAGGATTTTTGGTTACTGTTTGTTAGTTACACTGTAACTAACAAACAGTAGTTATCCTACTAGTCCATCCTTCCAAGTGTTGCGGAAGAGAGTGAACAGCAACAGTATAATAATACAGAAAACATTAAAAACGGGGTAAAATACAGACAAGCAAACTAACATGAAAAGAAGGAAGACAGAAAGAAAAGACAAAGCACCACCAAAAACAACTTCTGTGCTACAGGTCTGTTTAAATAAGAACATTTTTCTATGCTGATGGAAAGTCACTGGCAAAAGTAGTAGCTAGCACTCCCCACTAGTGAAATCCACAGCCTGAGAGCAACCACAGAAGTGTTTCTTAGAAACACACAGGGACACAATATGTTAGAAAAATGAGAAGCATGTTACAGAAACTGTGTTAACTTACCTGTACAAGCTGCGATTTGTCGTAATCTTTACGATGCCGGTAGATGCATTGATTAAGGAGTGAATACAGCCTCTCAAGCTGATCAACAGTTAGGTTGTCACTTTTCTTAACCAACAAATCAAGTAAATTCTATACAGAAAAGTTGGAATGTGTTTAATAGTAAATGGCATACGTTCAAATTCATAATTTGCTTACAAACAGTTAAGGACTAAAAAAAAGTTTTAAAAACACACTGTTGTAAAACTTTCATTTTGTTCTTTTTCAGTGTTTAGTGCATCCTCTTCCTTGACAGTATACAACAAATACTTAGTATATTACAACAAATATATGGTTTTTCATAATAAGTACAGTCGTGCCCCGCTTAATGGTTGCCCTGCATCATGACGAATCCGCTTTACAACGATGTTTTTGCGATCGCAACTGCAATTGCAAAACGATGGTCTAAATGGGGGAATTTCGCTTAGCGATTATCAGTTCCCTACTTCGGGAACCGATTTTCGCTTTACGACTATCAAAAACAGCTGATCGTCAGGTTTTCAAAATGGCCACTGGGTGCTTAAAATGGCTCTCCGCTGTGCTTAGGGATGAATTCCTCGTTATACAGGCACAGAAAAAGGCCGCCATATGGAGGATCTCCGCTGGATGGTGAGTTTTTAGCCCATTGGAACGCAATGAACGGTTTTCAATGCATTTCAATGGGCTTTTTAATTTCGATTTACGATGTTTTCGCTTAACAGCGATTTTCCTGGAATGGATTCTTGTCGTTAAGCGATGCACCACTGTATTATACTGTATTATTATGGAACAATCTAGCATTAACTGCTCCTTCAATTCACATGTTAAGTGAGGCTCTTTGCAAATTTAACAGTGATACTGATCAGTATTAATATGAAATCAAATATGGTCATATCAGCAACAAAGGTATGTGATGACATGACAAATTAAGCCAATTCAGAACAACGCCAACATAGCCACTATAAATTTAAACTAATTTGTCTTTGATGTCATCTGCTAGTCCCAGTCAAAGCTGACTCTCACACACACAGAGAGAAAGAGAATGAGAGAGGGAGAGGTCTATTCTCGTTTACACAATCAACTGGATGTAGGTCGCTGTCACACAGCCAAATTTGACCAGACATGTGATAACACTGCTGTCACCAGACCATTTCCCCCAAATAGGCCATGCAGAGCTGACCTTACAGGGCCTTTGCCTGAATGTTTTCACGTGGGAAATAAATGGTCATGTAAGTCTAAACTGAGTCTAAGATTAAGTGGACAGGAGAGGGCAGGAATGAGCATCTAAATGACAGCAGAGTTTACATTATTTTAATAAATTATTTCTAAATTATTCTATTGAGCAACAAATTCAAGGTACTTGTATGTGGCTGCACTTTACAAACTGTAAGAGCTTTGTAGACAACGAAAATGAATTGCAAATCCTCTAATTTCATACTGTCCAGAATTATTTGGGGAGAACACAGAGAGAGAGAACAAAATATCACTCCTGCAGTTTAAAAAAAAATTTCCAGCCAGCCTTACCATTAATCTGTCATGGTCAACAACTACAGGAGGTACAGGATCCAACTGTTCCTCTGGGACCTGTGCCAAAGAAACTTTACGCATTCTTTTATTTTTCAATGTACCTGGAAGTTAGGAAAGAAATAGGGGGGGGGAAACTGAAGATATGGCTAGCAAGTAGAATTGCATTAAATTCCAAGCTGCCTAAGAATGATCATTTTCAAAGACATAAGCACCTTTGTTCAGGACAAAACATTGTCTCCGACACAGCACAAATGCAATTTCTAAACCTCTGTAAGAACCTCCATTCGGTGGAAGGGGGGGATGAAGAATAAAGAAGTATCCAGCATTAGTCCAGATTTAAGCACATGCCATTATTGGGCTAGAAGCAGGCTTCCCTGTTCCTTTCCCCTCCAGGTCCCTGAAAACGCTACACAGAGAGTTGTCCCTGATGAGTGGGCTGAGCTGAGGTGCAAAGAAAGGAAAGGGACTTTGTTACACCATGGGGATACATTTTCTGTCAGTAGAGTCTTTTACCCTGTTTCCCTGAAAATAAGCCCTGCCCTGAAAATAAGCCTTAGTAGGATTTTTCAGGATGCTCGTAATATAAGCCCTACCCCCAAAATAAGCCCCAATTAAGTGAAAGCCCGCCCTCCACCGTTGTGCAGCAACCCAGAAGATGACAAGACAGTAAAATAAAACATCCCCTGAAAATAAGCCCTAATGCGTTTTTTGGAAGCAAAAAATAACATAAGACCCTGTTTTGTTTTTGGGGAAACATGGTAATCAGAAAAAGGCAGATTCTGAATCCAAACGGATGTACTTAAATGAAATTTGTCAGTTTGTTGGCAGCAAGCTGAGCAAATATAGCATAGCTCTCATGTTATTCATCCTCACTCTCATCCCCCTCATCTCATAACCATCATCACGAAAGAAAAGAGTGTGATGCAGAAGAGGGATAACCAGGTTGGAGGCTGAACAGGAATCAACTACTTCAAGGGACTGTTACAGATTTACTGTATGAGACAAAAGTGGGGGGTAAGAAATGCATGTTCTGCATACCTTCTTTATCTGATTCAGTTTCTTTATTCTCAGCATCTATGCCTTGAATTTTCTTTTCATTACTGCTGCACAGTGGTCCCTCACCGCCAGAATGTTTTATCCGTTCAGCTTGGCCACTATTTGAAGGTTCCGGTATTTCCTTTTGACAATCATCCAGGGCTGTATTTTGTTTAGAAGTGGACGTATCTGTGGTGCCAGATGGTGAAATGGTATTCAGAGATTCGCATTGGCCCTGCTGACATGATGGAACAGGCACCCCTCCAGAAGCCTCTCCATTTAAATGGTCCCTCTTGAAGGGAGAGTCCTTGAGTTCTTTCCCCACATCCACAGTCGCCTTGTTATTGACCAGCAGGGATTCATTTGAACTCTCCTCCGTTGATGGAATACTGTTTTCTTTTCCTCCCGTCCCATTGTCAAGCCTTTGCTCTCCCTGGATGTCCATGATATCACAAGACGATTCATCATTTGTCAGAGAGAGATCTCCCGCTTCCTCTCCGTTCTCCTCAATGCAATCCGTGCTTCCCTCAAGTTCTCCGTTCTCCAGCAATTTGCTGTCTTCCCCTTGATTTTCATCATCTGCAAACTTGGCATCATCCTCGTCTTTCTTTAAATTATTCACTTTTCTCTTTTTAATGATGCCTTTGCCCCACTGTGAACGTCGCCTTGATTTTCTCCTTAAACGAACTATATTGTGAAGAGAGAAAATAACCCTTAGAAGTACAAACACCTACTCAAGACAAAATGTTTAGTAAGCAATGGGGAAGATAATACAGTCATTTGTGTGCATTTGAAACATATGGAAATATTACAAACTGGTTTTTTTGACAGACACCATCAAAGGAGCTAAATATGATAATAAAGATACGTATTAAAAAGGCACTTTTGAAACACAAGTGTCAGCCAGTATAACAAAAAAGCAAAAACAACAAAACAGGAAACCCTATCACCAGCAACAACCTGAAGAAAGCAGTTAATCTGCGTTTTTCCCAAAAGCCTTCTGAGAACTGTTTAACAGAAAACAGGTAGGAATGGAGCCAAACATGGGTCCTCAGATGCTACCTGTATGAAGTACTGGCTGAAACCCTGTAGAAAGTTGCAACGAAAGCTGGCCCACTGAATCAGTGGGGATTTGTTGATTCAGTTCCTCCATAAGTTGCACTGATTCAATGGGCTTACACCAGTTATGACTTACTACTCAAAGTTAGTGAAATGTTAGGAATATTTTATTCCTAGTTATGCTTTGCACAGTTTAGAATGGACTTTCAAACTTTTTTTTAAAATAGGGGGCATTTTTTAAAAAATAATTTGATAAAAGAACATTCACAAAGCAGAATTAAAATGCAAGGATAATTCCCCAAAATGTAACAAATATAAATTCTCGCAACAAAACAAAACAAAATCCCACAACCAAACCTTAACAAGTAAATGATGTACAGTGCTGCCTTGCTAGACAGTTGGGAAAAGGAGCATTTTTCCCTTCCGAGGCTTGCCGAAGGCTGGAGGAAGAGGCGGGAACTTTAAAATTGCTTTCAGTCAAGCCTCTGCAAACGCCCATCACTGCGCAGAGGGAAAGCCCAATCGAAGAATGCCACTCTTTAGATATTTCAACCCATATATCTAAATATACCCAGGATGTAGAGATGAAGCACACTGCCCTATATCTAAATAGATACTATTTTTCACAGAGCTGGTATCTTTACAAGTCAACTGTTGAAAGATAAGAGCTTCCTCTTACAATTTCTTGCTGAATAAGAAGGAAATGTGGCAAAATAGAACAGCAATTTTTAGCTCTCTATCATCTCTTGTTCAAGCTGTGCAACTGTAGATTGTTTCTGTGGCTGTGTTTGAAGAATTTATCAGGGGACGATATGCAGAAAATAATTTACAACTTAAAAAGCCTTTCATATCTCAGGGAAGTAATTCATAGGAATCAAACAACCAAATCAATTTCTAGTTTATAAATTCGCATTCAAAAGAAGCTAGAGAGCCTAAGGACTCTGGCTCAGATGAGTCACCTAAAATACGTATTTCCAAAGGAAGCCGATAGACAATTCAATTAAAAGTAATTTTTACTTAATCAAACCAGGGCTCTAACGGGTAAACCATGGGGTTTCAGTAAACAAATCAACTAGATCTCTGCTGACCTAAACTCTAACTATACTTGGTCTACACTGTTAAGCAACAACTCTCTGGACTTTCTCAGATATGAGAACTTTCAGAGCCTTACCTGGAGTGGCCCAAAATTCATATTTTGGCCAAAGTCCTGTTTTGTAAAGTATGTCAATATAACAGAGATGATAGTAATTAAGGAGTTGTTACTTCAATCCTAAGGCTTACATAGCTTGTGCACAATCAGCGTCATTGCATGTGATCTATGCAAGTCCCAGCATGATAGCAGGAATTCTTTATAATAATCTTTCTTAGAATAGCGTACTTTTCTCAACAGGATTTTGGTCACTGTATGCAAAACAGACTCCACCAATAAGTCATTACCATGGCCCCTCATTAAAATCAACATTTCTTGAGACATACTGAGAAACAGGATTCTAACAAAAAAAAAAAGGAGAGATTTGTTGTGGCTGAATGAATGTTTCTAATTTTTGCTTTTATATCTCTGAAGAGAAGCATAAAAGAGAGTTGGCAATGCTAAAGGGAAATGGAGGAGCAGCTTGATAAGGATGTCTAGTTATCAAGGAACAGGATTTCAGTGCTTTGCCTATCAGACTGCTAAGTATGACAATGCTTCAAATCTTTGCAAAGCTATGCACTCTGAGAAAGGCTGTTTAAGGGAAACACTTCTTAGCAACATCCTGCAAGTACTGGTTATTCATTGTTTTCTGGATGAGAAACAAGCCTTCTTAAGGAGGGAACTAGGGATGTACCTCACACTACAATTTTTCAAATTGCAACAGAAGTAGAACAATATCTGGCCATTATGCTTCAGCAATTTAATACAGTCCTGCTTGTTCAAGTAATAGTTCAAGAAATCTTTCCCAGATGCAGCAACTGACTGTAGGTGCTGTTTCTAGGATGCAAAACAATGTGCTTTTGACACCATCTGCTGGTAATAACAAGGAACAATCTAGGTTCCTGTATCTAAATAGCATTTTAAAAAATCAAAAATATTCCACAAGGTTTCATCTATCAGATAACCTCAAGAACATAAACAAACCATGCTACATTAATCTGTGAAAAACATGCAACAACTGTATTATGTATATCCAACAAACACAACTACATTACCATGATCTTCATCAATCTTGGTTCATTTTACACGAAAATAATCCATACGGCAAACCAGTAACACACATAAAAATCTCTATCAGATTTCCCTGTCACAGTATAATACCAGAACACAGTTAAAATGCCCTTCTTTGCTCTAGCACAGCAGTTGCCTTAGGTCCCCAGATGTTCGTGGGATAAAACTCCCAGAAACCTTCACCGCTAGCTGTGCTGGCCAGGATTCTGGAAGTTGTAGTCTAACTGCATCTGGGGACCCAAGGCTGGGAACCACTGCATTTAGCACAAAACCCTCTAAACATTCTATGGACTTCCAAATTCTTTTAAAAGGGGGTGGGGGTCCACTAAAGAAGTTTTGCTCTTAGGACTCAGCTTTGGCTATCAAGATTTTATCTTTCTTTATGACAGTTTTAACCTCCTGAATAGAGATGGGGTGTTTATATATGAATACCCCCGCGCAGATGGATATAACGAGGGTCCAGCCCCCTGGGGCCGGACCATCCACTCACTTTCCACTGTTGCTGCGAGCTCTGTGCTCCCTTCCTATCGCTCCGGAGCTTGTGGTCTGTGAGCCACTCTTCAACCTGGCAGCGAGACTTGTCCTCCTGCCAGGAGTGGCTTGCAAACCGCAAGCTCCAGAGCGATACGAAAGGAGCACAGAGCTCGCAGCAACAGTGGAAAGTGAGTGGATGGTCCGGCCCCAGGGGGCTGGACCCTCGTTATGTCCACCTGCGCGGGGGTATTTGTATACAAATACACCCATCTCTACTCCTGAACATAAGTTGTGCACCAACAAACAACAGAGCTTGGTATCAAGTTGATTTGAGTTAGAGCACCACTCTGGTTCCCTACAGCAGTGGTTTTCAACCTTGGGCAACCAAGGGGTTATTGAACTGCAACTCCCAGAAGCCTTCACCACTAGCTGTGCCGCTCAGGGAGTTGCAGTCCAAGAATACTGAGTTACCCAGAATTGGGAACCATTGGCCTATAGTACACATGGGAAATGAAGTGACCAACACAGTGTTCAAAAGCTTTTGCTTCACACTCACTGTTACAGAAATGTTATAAAAAGGTAAAGGTTCCCCTTGACAATTTTTGTCCAGTTGTGTTCGACTCTAGGGGGCAGTGCTCACCCCCATTTCCAAGCCATAGAGCCAGTGTTTTGTCCGTGGTCATGTGGTCAGTGCGACTTAGACACGGAATGCTGTTACCTTCCCACCAAGGTGGTCCCTATTGATCTACTTGCATTTGCATGCTTTCGAACCACTAGGTTGGCGGGAGCTGGGACAAGCGACGGGCGCTCACTCCGTCATGTGGATTCGATCTTACGACTGCTGGTCTTCTGACCCTGCAGCACAGGCTTCTGCGGTTTAGCCCACAGCGCCACCACGTCTCTTGTATAAAACCTTGTATTACACAGATACAGTCAAATACTCTGTCCCGCTGCCCCTGTGTGATTTGCCCACATTTGCACATCCAGGAATAGAAGATCAGCCTCATGAACACCACACCACACTTGTTGCAATGAGCTGTTTAGGAGTATATGCATTGCATAATTAAGGTTACATGTTTTTAAAAAGTGAAAACAGAAAAGCATTTTTGCGTACTTGCTACAGATATACTTGGTTTTTAGCAGACACATCCAAGCAAGACAATTTAACTCCAGGTCAGCCACAGGAGTCCCCTACCATTTGCAGGCCAATCGTTTGAGAGAAGGAAGATAGGAAAGAGAAAGACGGCAGGGATGGGATCCCAGTGAACAACAAGACAGCCTAACAGCAATGACACAGCAGCAGGCTTTGAGACCAAGCAGCTTCCACTTCAGACAGAGATCACATTGGCCAAAAAGTCCTGACACATGCTGCTCATTAATGCCTTCAGGAGAAATTAGAATTCTATTAATGAGCTTAAAATAGGTAGGCTTCCTTTTTCAGATTAGTGTCACAATGGCCAAAATCCCACTTGTTAATACCTTCAACTCAACACGCAGGGAGCAAATTGCTGGAAGTTGGTAAGGTAGCACAAGAATCCCCTCTATTGCTCACCAGGGCACATTACTGGTGTGTGATAGGAAATGTCTATGGGAAATGGTGGTCATTTGGCCCTGAAAGTTACACTGATGGCATTACATTGGAAGGTGTAACAATAAGGATTGGGGGCAAAAGTCTACATATAAAAGTATAAAAAACTATAGGGAAATAAAAAGAGGATAAACTGTTTGGGTTTGTGGATAAACACTTAATAAAAATATAAAGACATTGTATGTAACACAGTAGGTAAAAATAAGCATAGCTTGATACCCATTTATCTCAAAGAGATGTACCCATCCAAACAGAAACTATATACTTCAACATAAGGCTACAGAGAAGACACTGAGTAACTGGTAGACCTTTGGCTATAGAGAAGAAGCAAGGTACTCAATCCTGCATGCCCTGAAGTGAAAA